TTTGCGCGCCATACAGAATCTGCGGTGTTAACGAGGAACTAGTAAACGCATCTAATACGTGTAGCTCCCTCTCTATGAATATTATAGGGATCAATGGTTACTTCCAAGTTCCTTTTATCAGTTTACAACATCTCATATGAAGTGCGTTGTTCAGTCATATATTCATTTTCATGCAAATAAGGCTCATTTTAAATTACTAATGGTTTTCTTCCGGGCGCTCAGTTTGAAAGAGGCAAATGTAATTCAGATTATATTTCGTTCGGAGAAAGTGCTGTGGTCTTTAATAAGTACATTAAGGACAGGAAGAAGGTATTTGAAAGAAGACACTTGATCGATGGAAATACTAAGAACCAATTGCTGGATTACTTGCTTATTCATCAAGTTTCCCAAACAGATATCTATAATTATTGCTTTTTAAACGTTGGAGCAGAGAGAAGCACAATGACAGTTTATGTCTTATATGACAGACCCTGGCCAGGGCTTCAACCCGGGCAAGGTTCAAGCTAACCCGCGATAAGCGAGAATTTTACTTTCAGTTTTGTAACTTTTCTGCCCAGGCTTTTCAGTGAGGTCTTCTGTTTATATTATTTGTCCTTCAGTTTTGAGTTTGAATGCTAGATCTAAGCGAAAGAGGGACTACTCGTGGTCTAGCATAGAAGTAACCTGAATTTAACTTTTGCATCTGGCTTTAGCTACAAAAGTGCAAAAGATTCCTTTAAGATTCCTTTTATTGAAGCATAAATGCATGATTTACAATCAGTATGTTGTTGACAGTCATACTACTGATGAAAAAAATAAACCACAGACTGATTCTTGATTTTACAAAATAAGTCCAATACATTATAATCAAGCCAATGAATGAATGCACAAAAACAATCAAATAGAGCAAATCACATATTATGCAACTTTTACATATCACTTGCTACAACAATCAAACACAAGTGTCTCTAAGGTAGTATCTTAAACCTTGACTGGCTTGAAAGTGCTTTTCACTTAGTAGCAAGGACTATCAGCAAGCCTAACCCAACACTGGACAACAGGGTATGTGGCACAACTTTCTCAGAAGAGTCAGTGAGAGGGGTGTTTAAAATATTGTCTAATAATAAATAAATCTATCTTGGCTGACCATGTCTGTGTGTTGACTCCATTTCCAACATTACCAAGTTACTACTTTTTTTTCAGCTGGTGTAATTCACCAACAGTCATTTTCTTTTATAGCTATACCCCCCGCCAACGCTGCCAACATACACAGCAAGTATGAAAACATTCACCTTACTTTTTGATACGACACAGACAAAACAGGACAAACCACCCTCTCCTCAGACTGTATAAATTAATTCCTCCTGACTTCCTCTGTCCTTGCGGTTTGATTTTTTTAAGTTATAGGTCTGATTTGTTTCAACCTGCCATTCCTGAAAACACTTAGCACGGTCCACCAGTTCATGGCATTTATGGTAATTACAGCATATGTACACAGCAAAGCAAACACACATGTACCAACTGATAGAGTACACAAATTGAACAAATCACTTAAGATACACACAATACCTTACAAAATTTAAACTGCTGGAGCTATTATACATTACAAATTAAGTATATATAATCAAACTCATCTACAAAATTTAGAAGTTACTTAACATAAATTGACACTGGAAATTCTAAAAAAGTCCTTTCCCAGAACTCAAAATATTTTATAATTATTGTTAGCACAACACAGACAGAGATCATTCTAGCTACTAATCTAGGTGACATAAGACGGTCTTCATGGCTCAAGACAGCACTGTACATCCTGGATATTATTAAGACTGTTTCTGCATAGAAAAAAGCTGCCACGTCTTGGTCAGACATAATAAACGCGCACTTTAGAGGTGCTGACCAGGAGGTCACCATCAAAGAACTTTGTTTCAATAACCACGTTGCCACTGAAAGAGAAAAAAATACTTCTCATTACCATCTCTGTATTCAGTGGAAATGAATATTATTATACAGTTTAAAAGAAAAGAAAGAAAAGGAAATCAATTTTTGAGCATGCCCTTTGAGCAAGCTGTAACTATGATGTACTGAGTACCAGCCCAAAAGTCATTCTCATTAGCTCCTCAAAATTTCACCTCTTAAAGTTGATCTGCAATTTGGAGATTCATTCACTCACTGAATGAAGGACAGAGTCTACAAACCCGACTGCAAATTCCACCAACCTCTGACCATCAAACACAACTTTCTTTCCACACTGACATGTTATGGACTTTTTTGGCAGGAAAAAATCTCCACTTTTTAAGAAATACATTTTTTGGCTTTGAGCTGTATTGGTAAACACCAATCCGCCATAGAAAAAATTGGTACATTTACCCATAACTCTTAGCGCACAGAAACTTAAACAACGCTCATAAAAACGTACAGGAACGTTGTGAAACCTTCAAACCCAGCGTACACAATGTCGATAGCACATGGACAAATACTGCAAAATCATGGCTATCCTTGTACTTTACTGGCTGTATTAGGCTCACATGGTATTGTGGTAAAATGTACAGCCGCCATCTTTTTTCCTACGGAGGATTAAGCTTACTAGATTAGTTGGAGTTTACATTTGTGCCTTACCTGGCTTGTCAGGCAGGCAAGTATTTCTGGTTTCCATGGCAGGAAGTGATCAATAAGATTTCTACTGCCCAACCCTCTGCCCCCCCTTGATGGTGAAATCTACTAGTAACCATTAATACAACTGAATGGAGTGAGGTAAAGTGACAGCAAAGTGTCCCTCCCACCATCACAACACAATAATTTCAGCCAAAGGACTGATGCCAAAGAATTATAGACCACACTTACTTTAGAACATTTGCAGGCATCATCTGTGATTCAGGAGCAGCCTCTATGAGTGATTGCCATGTGTTTGTTGATGAAGGGATAACAAATCCAAAATCAAAATACCATTCTACAAACACAAGATAAAATACTAACAGTGAAATTACATCCTTAAAATACACTGACATCACAGCAAGGTGTTTCTCAAAGGATATCGTTAATACCATGGGTGACAAATTACTCCTTAATAAATTCTGGTGCAAAATTCCAGCATTAATTTATAATTTCACATGTGAAATTACAAAATTGCCATGGGGAAATTTCGCGAGAAATTTCCAGATGCAATAAACAAGTCAAAAACCTACCACTGTAAGCGTAATTTGTCACCTATATGATATTAAAAGGTAATCAAATGGTATACTTGTGAAATTGAGAAATAATTTCACTTGCTCTTTTTCAAAATTCTAATACACACTTATTAGTTGAATTACTAGCTGAATTATTTCCTAATTTCACTTGTCACCGTTTATCGGTTAACATGAATGTATTTAAGCAATTTTTCGACAATACAGGTAGATCAAAATTATAACTTACCAATAAAGAATTTCCAGGTTAATAACAAAGTTATTGCCCAAGTAACAAACACTACCAGATGAATATTGTTAATAAAATAAGCAAATTTTACTTTCTTACCTTCTAAGCACTTCCCTTTGAACAGAACTTTTTGTTCAAGTCTGAATTTTGTCATTTCTTGTTCAGAAGAAAAGTTAAGTTCCCTAGATACAGCCTTGCATTTTAAGATCTTTTTTGGTACTCTTGCTGCAAACAAAACCAAAACACTAATTCCTTAATTTGAAAATCCCAAAATAGACAGCAACACATGTCACAAGTACATTCCAATTATTGGCACATCTCTTCTAATAGGATAAGAATTTCCATCATTTGAAGCAGACTCTCATGATTACATACAGCCCTGTACAGTGGAATGCAAGCCTTGATGTTCAATAATGAGACTCTATCGGTTTTGCAAAACAATGTTACAAAATTGGCTTAAAAAACACTTGCGTCACTTTTTCATCCTAGCAGAAGTTAAACCAAAACCATGAATCACTCGTATATGTTTTCCTGCACTTATAGAGTGGTTTTCAATTGAGTGTCGTAAAACCAAAACCAAACCAATTACTTAAAAACTACCTCTACTACTTAGTCAAACTCAAACCATAGTAAAACCAAAGCCAAAACCAAAGTAATTGCCTGAAATTACTCTTGATACTCAATTGAAAATCACTCTACCAGGTGTACATGAATTACTCTAAGTTTTGATTGGTTTGCTATATTGCCTGTGTCCCTTGTGATTAGCTAGAGTGATTACTTTAGTTCTCGCTTTACAACAATCAATTGAAAACTGTTCTTCAACATGACTTATAAATATCAAAAAACCTATCACCAAGCTAAAGACAGCCTAACACATTCAGAAGTAGGTTATGACATGCAAGAAGTAGATTCTATTTGCATCAAAATAGTGCTTAGCATTTGGTAAGATATTAGAAATAAAATAAAATGCCAAAAGAAGTTACGATGCTCATACCTTCATGTTCTTGGTCAGGAACCGACCTGGAAAAGAAATATCAAACATATATTAATCAATAACTGTTAGGAATCTAAATGAATTTAGGAACAAGTTTTTGCCAGTCACAACAGGGATAACAAGCCCTTGGTCTAAAAATATTTACAAGGAACCCAAAGGTTCCAAACTGTCATTGTGCTGGTTGCCCAGCATTTAAGCTTATACATGAGAAAAGTAAGTTTTTTCAGTTGCCCAAAGGCAAAAGCTAGTTACCTGTGGCACCCAGGCACAAAAAATTGAAGTTACTCAAAAGAATGAGGAAGTAGAAATGTTTGATCAGATTTCACTTACAAGTCATCACTGCCTTGCCACAACACCTTCCCAGAGTCAGCATCTCGCAGATTCATCCAATTTCTACATCATTATTAAGGAATATAAAATCAAATAGACGCAACTCCTTTGCAGCAAAAAACTGAATGACTTGTGAAAATTTTACAAATATATACTTGTAATCTGACAATTTATTTTGTGTTAAACCTTGAAGTGCATCTTACATTAAACTTATTTACACGGAATCAAACTGTCTGATTTGACAAATATTTATTCTTAGGTAAAAACAGCAATGTTATACATTTTTGGTCTCTTTCTTCAATCTAGATCTATCTTTGCTTTGACTTGAGAATATATCAGAGTGATCACAAGATCATAACTCAAAGTTAAGGAAGTATCAAATTAAGGAAGTAGTCACAAATCAGTCATGGTTAAATGGTTGCTTAACAGTTTTACCATGCAAACATATCACATAGCCTTCTTGTTACGATGATCTTACTTCCGTGAATACATTACTAGAGGTACATTATTGAAATCTGACTCTGCCATGTCAACCATGACAGGGACGTCTGGCTTGATAAACACTTTGCAAGTTGATCATTCACTAAGTACCAGAGGTTTTCCTGGCAAATTTGTTTCTTTCAATGGTTACTTGCATGGTTTCCAACAATACAAGAATACCAACTGACAATTTTTTTTCCACTTTCTAAAAGAAAGCCTCACAACTCTATGTTTTTTTCATACATTCAATTGAAACATGCTAAATTACAAAGAACAACAATTCATGCTGTCAGGTAATGATATAATGCCTTCACAGTAACCAATCAGAGCTTGACATTTTCATGAACTGCCTTTATTAAAAATTTATTAAAAGGTTAACACCTCCCACTGGACAATGGTAAAAAAATAACTTCTATTGATCACTTGGAATAACAATGCTACTTCGCATAAATGTTCAATATTCCCAAATGGAAAAGATCTTTATCGATTTCTTTTTAACACTCAATCAAATGTTTAGTCTCTCTGTTAGAGGTTGATCATTTTAGAAAAAAAATTTAAATCAGAAATGTTATCAGTTGTAAAGTTAGACACAACAGTAGCACTTGGCCAAGGCAGTTGGCAAATGTCAAGAACGTTCCGAGTCACTTTAGGTTAAGATTTCACAGAGCACGAGTCAGATAAAACCATATACTGCAAATAAACAGACACAGACATGATTAAATTTACCTGAAACGCTATGTCGAAAATACATCACGACCAATTACTTATTCGCTTCACAATATAAATGATTAGAAAAATCACTTTGTGACACACGATCACAATTGTACAGCATCTACGCATCCGCTTTAATAGATATAAATCTTTAAAATCTAATCTTTGTCTATCTTTTACGCTACTGCAATAAACTACAATGAAGCGATGTTTGGAAGTCGTAAATTCGTGCTAGCTGGCATAACCAAAATCCGTTGACGTTTGATAAAGTGTTACATATCCCACCAAAAAACGGATCGAAGTACAAAACCAGAACGGTTTAAAAGTATCACTTTTCGAATACTGTATAACAGGAACAAAACAGTGTTTTAATATCAACAGATAAACAGCAAATCTGTTCAGTTCTAATTCAAGCTTACAGAAGATTCTGACTTCGGCCCACCCGCCAAAGAACTAAACGACCGATAGCCACGATTCGCTAATCCAAAAAGTTCTAGACTTTAAAATAAGTAAGCTAAATTAGTGATTCGTGTAGGTTACTAACTACTAAGTGAAGACAAGTTAAAATAGTCTGCAAAAGTAGCGTAAAATTCGAGGAAACTTGCAAACGAAGGATACAGTTTGAATCCCTTCAGGATTTCATCTTTCCTCGCGCCTTTCACGCTCATGCTGGGAAAATTCGCTATCCACCACCAAAGAATGGTCCAGTGAAGAGTTCTGCACAGAATCAAGAGCCAAATGCCACGTTAAAAGAAGAAAATCGCTAAGAACCTCTAGTAGAGGGAGAAACGGATGCAGCAAATAATCCCTGCACCAAGGAGCTCGGCTTGTAACGTTTCCATGAGAACTCTGGGTAATTCACGTCAAATGGGGAGTGACAAAACGGCCGGGAGGCCTGGAAACTGGGACATGTAGCAGCCGACGAACCAGAAGCGCGAGGGAGCCCGGATAGCTCCGCTCTCCCAATCCTTTTAGTTTCGCGCTCGTCCGCTCGCTTTGCTCGCCGAATATTTTCCCGTCCTCGCCGGCAGCCCGTTCGCAGGCTACGATTGAATTAATTGATCGAGAGGGAAGTGACCACGTTAAGTGTACGGTGTTGTGTTACACTTTGGGCCGTCGAGAATTTGAGCGCTCTAAAAGGCATTGTATGGGGAGCTTAAGTTACTTTTTCTGAATATACTCACCTTGCCTGACGATGAAATAGGCCAAATGAACAACAGACACCAAGCAAGGTGAGTATGTTTTCTTCATTTTATTCAAAAAAAAAAAGTATTATTTTATTTCGTGGGCGTTTTTATCTTTCGTTATACTTCGTTATCCTTCGTTATCGTTACGATGCCTTTTAGAGCGCCCAACTTCTCAACGGCCCAAAGTGTAACACAACACCACACACCTAAGGTGGTCACGTCCCACACGATACGCGTACGTAAATCATTGATTAATATTGATCTTTTTGGTTTATTTTGCTTGCTTTGCAAGAGTTCTAGAATAAGCTTGATGAAGCGACTAAGCCAGCGAGTTTCACATGAGAAAGTTACTGTCTGCAGAATCGTTAGTACCAAAGCGAAAAATTGAAGAGAATCAAAAGGTTGGCGACCATATTTTTCTCGCAAACAAGAGACCCATTTGTCACATTTGTAGAAGTTAACATGAATACTTCACAGATAGACCCAAAAACATGGAGAGGCATTTCATTTAGATGTGATATATTCTAGTTTACAAGTCGGTCACATTTGAGTGGAACCCGGGGAAGACTCCAATCTAAAAAGGTAGGGGGTGTTCGTCATACCTTTTAGGGGTTAGACACGCAGTTTTGATACCTCTTAGGATGGTTAGCCTCAAAAGCTCCACAGCAGGTACGTTTGCGGTACCTTTTAGATCGAGTGTTGAGCGGGAAATATGACAGTAGATGATGTGTTATGTAAGAATTGGTACTTCTTGTAACGGGAGAAAAAAAATTCAAGCCACACCCACAAAACAGGATCTTGGCACCTCTTAGGTGTTCTTTCAACATTTCCGACGAGCACCCCCTTTTTTATATGGAAGTCTCTCCCCTCTCCCCCCCCCCCCCCCCCCC